TAGCTTTAATTAGAAATTCCGGTTTTGATATTAGAAAAGCCAAGTAAATATCTACAACTATTGTACATCGAGTTGTCAGAAACACAAAATTCTATGAATTTACCCATGGAGACATCGATGAAAAATTATAGATCCCAGATCAAAACCAAGTGAAAAGTGGATCACTCATACCCACAAAACTACATTCCTCTACTTTTCCAGGCTAACTCACTCGTGTTTGGGGGGCTGTTAGATGTCATTCCACATTTCAGTGGATCTTATGGCATTATGTTTTCCTGCATCAGGGTCTGTATGCTAAATGCCTGAAAGCCAAAAATCAATCCTGTTATATCCACACAATTAAGACAATTCCTGAAACCTAGTGTAAAATTAATGCACATGGGTTGAATAAATAAGCTACCATTTATTGAGCATATCAATATCCCACTTAATCCTCACAGTTACCCTAACAGAAACAATCATACCTACCATTATATCAAGACCATTTTGCTGCTCTGGTTCAGAGAGATCAGTTAACTTGGCCAAAGCCATAAAGCTAATAAATGAGAGATCCAGAAGTCAAATGAATTTATTTAACCACAAATCTATTTTTTTAGTCGGTTTTGTGTTGCTATCACAGAATATCACAGATTGAGTAATTTATATTAAAAAGCAATTTATTTCTCATAGTTTTGGAGGCTGGGAATTCTAATATCAAGGTGCCAGCACCTTACTAGGGCCTTCTTGCTGTGTCATCCCATGGCATTACATAAGAAGACAAAAGAGGATGAGAGGGAGCAAAAGAGAAGTGGGCCAAACTTATCCTTTTATCAGGAACCCATTCCCATAATAACTAACCCACTACTAAGATCGAGCCTTTAGTTCTAATCACCTCTTAAAGGTCCTGCCTCTCCACTGTTGCACTGGGGATTAAGTTTCCAACACACAAACTTAACCATAGTGGCCATGTTCTCTGCTACACTGCCTTGCTTCATCAAAGAAAAAAGACAATATAGGAATAGTCATTCAGATGATGATCTCGTCTAACTCAATTTGCTCAGACCAAATGAAAACTGGACATTTTATTTAAAGCACTAGAAAGTTAGCTTGAGAAGTGACTGCCTATGCTTACAAAGGATGAGATACCAATTATGAAATCAGTAATAAAAGACCAATATGATGGCTATTTGTTCTTGAAAATTAAGCAGATAGTACCTGAAAAAGTTCTTCACCACTGCATCTTCCTAAACTGGTACATCTTCCTGAAATATTTTGGTTTTTGCTAGTCCTAAGGATAAAAGTGATAGAGGAAGAAAACAGCAACATGGTTTGCCCCCAAGCCTAAAAATGTTGGAGTGGTCCTATGGGAACAAGGTATTTTGATTATTTACAGCCTTATATTATTTTCTAATTATTGCATACGTCTAAATCTTATTCTCCTAGGTCTCCAAACAAAAGCAAGGTCCCCATGGGCATAAATTTCTTTTATGCTTCACAGCATCTAACATGATGTTGAGCTGTAGACTGAGCTCAAAGTTTAAGGAAAGGAAATAAATTTAGAAAATCTGGTCCAGGGATGGCTGTTTTCCCTGTCAAATTTTGTCTCCAAGATTTTATCCCGTTAATCCATATCAATGAGGACAGCACCGGCTTTTGTGACATTTCCAGGTCACTCTAAAAGGCCACATCAGTGGCTATTTGTCTTATCACATAATAGTGAAAAAAGCAAATTTTATTTTTCAATTAGCTTTGTTCCATTTGGTGAATTTCTGTGAGAAAATGTGCCTATCTTCACATAAACGGTGGGCTGAATCTGTGCCTGAGAGAGAGGGCAAGTGTGCTCACACTTGTGGGTGGGTGAGCATCTTCAGAAAGCCCCTCCGCTGCTCTGGAGGAGCTTGCAGTGTGTGCCATGGAAACGCCAGTTACCATGGAAAGAGCGCTATTGTGACGAGCTGAAGAAATGCCTATGTAAAATCAGCTTACCATGTAACCTTACACTTTCCAGCATTTTAAAAAATATGATAGGATTAGAGCACAGTCCTCTGGGGAGTCTCGGCCCTCTCAATGATCTTCCAAAACAATCTAGAAATTGAGATGATAAACTGCAGGGCAGTGTGTACCTTGCTAAGGGGCTTGACAAGCAGTTAGGTGGAGAAATTGCCAACATCGTTTATCTATGGACTACACAGCACACTATTAAATATTTTCTGTTAAAACCCACAAAGTATTACAAATGAAGAGAAAACATGGATAAAATTAACTTAAAGCGAACGGTTCCTGACTTACTGAAATCAGAATTGATGTGTTTCATCTAACTTATCTGTTAATAGGCTTTCTTGATGCCCTCATGTTACCATAATCTCCAAAGCACTGGACAAACCAGTACATTTGTTTATCTTTATCACTCTTTGCTTACTAAAGAACTTGCTTTTATTAAAGAGATCAATCACCTGCACACAGTTTAATAGCCTGTGTGGTGCATACAAGGTAAAAAAAAAAAAAAGCGAAAAAAGGGTAAAGGGTGAGAGCCCTATTTTAACAAAGCCCCCAAAGCACTGAAGAGGCAATAAAATAAGCTTTCAATAATATATGTTACATACATATACATACACATGCACACACACACACACATATATCTTCAAGATAGACAACTTGATATCAAAATTAGCAACCTAAAACATTTTAAAATGGGAAAGTGGAGGCTTAAAAGCAATCAATGCCTCAACTGTATACTCAGTTTTGTCTTGTTACTTTAATAAACAAAACAGTTAAATTCAGTTAAGTGGAGAGACAGGGAGTGCATTACACATCTTATACGCGGCTTCTCTCACATGCTTGTGTGGGAAAGTCAGACATTTATGTCTCACAGCCGAGCCATGAAACCAGGAATCCACCCTGGCTTAATAAGGATGTGGCATCTGAGGGCCACTGTTTTAAGTCTCAGATATGAGGCATTGTTGAAATGTTGGATTATAGCCTACTGCGCGCATTGTAGTGTGGGAGGGATACCGAGGCTGCTTTGCTCCCGAAACTGCTCTCCTACCTACACTGAAAAACAACCCTATCCACAATCTCTCAGTGCAAGGAACATAATATCATATTTTATCTCCTCTTCTGGGATTAAAAATATTGATTGAAATTTTCATTGGAAGCTTTTCTTAAAAGACACTTTCTTCCAAACCTCTTCTTTCTACTCCATTGCAAGTCAGCTATTTTTCTTGCCAAAATGCAGGAAAGCAATTAGGCTCAAGGGTATTATAAGCTGCACCAGTTCAGGGCAAATCTATTGAACTTTGCTGAGAAATTCTTGTTCATTCACTGTGAAAATTTTGATGGTTTTATCCTTTTTCTTGATAACCACTTAGTTTTAGAAACCTGGGTTACGTGTGTACTGCAGGATTTCAAGAGAGACCGCCTTAATTAAAGTGTTGTGATGTTAAACGGGAGGGTACTAAACATATTCCTTTAATAACTGCCATTTCAAGCTCAAATATATGTTGGAAAGAACTGAAGCTAAAATACAAAGGCAATTTAGCAGAAGCAGTGATGGCGAAGAGAAAATATTCAGCCAATCTGCAAAGTGCCTCACAGGTTTTGCAAATAACGCAGGCAGACAACAAGAGCCGATCCTTCATCTTCTATCAGCTGTTCCTGTTGCTGGCGATTATAGCCATATTTCACAGAGAACATATGGCTGTGTTTATAGCCATCAGGCAGCATTTCACAGAGCTACGACACCATGTGTCCACCAACTAGCCTTACTGATTGCAGTTAATTAGAGAGGAGGTGGGAGGCATTTTAAGATAATTTTAAGGCATAAAGATGCCCAAAGTTCCCAGGCCTATTTGCAAGACTAGGTGACAAGAGAGCCTGATATTAAAATTATAAGAAGCTAAGAGAAGTGGAAATTTTGCACAAGTCTTTCCCTAAGAAATGAGGCCAATACAACAACAACAAAGCAAAGAAAAAGCATATGAACACTAAGAAAGAAGATCAGCACAATAAATCATGCAAGATGTTACTTGGGAAACTTGCACAAGTGAGAAATCATTTGAACATTCCTAAAGGACCTTTTCAGGAGATAGGTTTTGAGTCAAAACTACCAAAACAACATTTCTAGGAGTCACTTTATACTAAGCGAATCCAAGATGTACTACATTCAATGTAAAATTACATAGGGTTTTGTTATACACCATCAAATATGTGCTGTAGCCCAATTTGTAGTCTGACAATGTAGTTCTTTCTTCTTTTTAATCCCAAAGTAAAATACCAGGAAACATATGTCACCAGATATATGATTTAAGGGCTTCAGCTTTTCAACATTCCCACTTCTGAATTTGCAAAATTTCTTCCATAAGTCCCTGGAAAAGAGACTTGACTATAGAGAGTTCCAGAGAGAATGAACTGAGCTCACATCCAAACAGAAACCTTAATTGAGTAATTCCTTTCCTCCTACAATTTACAAACTTCCCCCCAGAAAACATGGCTCTGTGTGTCTGTGTGTGTGTGTGTGTGTGTGTGTGTGTGAGTGTGTGTGTGTGTGAGTGTGTGTCTACCGTTCCATCTATTACAGACACTTCTTCCTTCAGGCTCTTTTGAAAGTCTGAGAACACATACATTGGTAATTGTGTCATTTTTTTCTCTATCGCTCTGCTTTGCTGAAGCTAGACTATAATGACATTAGATAGGTCGCATGATGGCAATTTAATGGCCTGAACTCAATCCACAGGTACATCGTTGCAGTCGCCTTGGGATCTGTTCTCATTGCTCTGACATGACAGAAAATACCAGCAGAGTTGGAATGAATGGCCACTTGCAGCGATGGAGGCAGTGCATATGTGAGGATAGAAGATACTGACTCTGAAACCCGAAGGGTAGCCCAGTAGCTGGGAAGTCACCCTCAGTGCCCCCCGTGGCTCCTCGCCCCACTATTAACACAGAGCATTTCACTCAGCAATGTTCATATGTTATGTTCTCTCTTTGGCACTGAGGAAAGAGAAAAATAGAACACACACAGGTCTGGCCCTAATGTGGTTTATTGTTTCTTAGGGAAAACACACAAACATTTAAATAAATATATGCGCCAAAATACCATAGATGTTATGATAGACCCATGTCCACAGTATAATAGTGGTACTTATTAGCAGTGAAGTTGAGTTGTCTTTAACAGTCCAATCTGCCTTTAATAGTCCAGTATACTTGAAAAGAGAGATGTTGGGGTTGTGCTGGGGGGTGATTTAAGGTCTACAAATTGCAGAGTACAATAATAAATCCAAAGTATATGAAATACTTTCAAAGGCTCATGTGCACAATTGGGTGGGTGCTGGATTCTCTCAAAGGACAATTATGAAGATCTAATTAAGAAATTCTCTGAGCACCTAGGGAAGAAAAAGTACAAGTTCAAAGCATTATACTGTTACTACAATTAGCTAAGTATAATATCCAGAGCCCTAGAGAATATTTCTATTACTTAGGGAAGTTTACAGCATGACACTGTATTTTCCAGAAACCATAAAATAGTGATGATCTTTTTCATATGTTTGTTAGAATCAGAAGAGATTGCGTGTATATGTCTATATCTACATATAATATATTTTATATTACATATAGATATGTTTTATGTTAGGTATATAATATAGATATATAGTTATATTAAAAATGTTTGCAGAATCTAGGGTGCCATATTAACAGATGTTGTTGTGGTTGTATTACTGCTGACCATATTTTTGTTGTGGCTAACTATAAAACAGAAGTCACTAAATTATGGCCCATGGGCAAAATCTGGGCCACACAGGGCCAAATTCATTACCTATAGGCCATGGCTTTTGTACTCTAACAACAGGGTTGAATAATTGGACAGAGACAATATTATGAATGGATTTTTTTTCTTTTTTTGCCATTTTATTTTTTAGCAGAAAACATTTTCCTGAAAAAATGGGGGTTCTGTGATCAGGTAAGTGGGAACACTACGTACTATATTTCTCTCTGGGAGATTTATAATGAAGGTTGGTATATTAAAAACTTTGAGTGGCCCTATATAAAAGAAATCTATTTAAATACATTTTCCACATTTATTTGGCCATTTTTCTCTCTACCTAAATGTACTAACAAATATGGCAGAGACAGTGGATTGGCCACTCAAGAGCAACTTACCTCTCCTGTGTCATCTGCTGTATAGAGAACATTAAATACTTTATACTCCAGCTTCCCTGTTGTCTAACCTTAGCCATGCACCACAGTTATAGGCACTAAGAGATGGCACTTCATGAGGCAGGTGCCCTTCCAGAACAGAAAAGAATGGTCTCCCAAGAGAAAGTCCCTTTTATCTTTTCCTGGTTGCCTTTCCTCTTGACCAGAAGTCAGTGGTCCAATACCCACCTTGTGATCCTAAGGACAATGAATAAAGGCAACGCTCTACATGCTTAGGATGGTGAAGCAGAAAGATGGTGAAATCCTGCATCTCCGATGGAATCATTGAGACACGCTACTAACTCAGAACTGCCTACTCTGGGATGTCTCATTGCATTAAATAAGTAAATACCTTCAGTGTGTGAGTGTGGAAAGTAGGAAAGAGCTTTTCAGACTTAAATAGGTGTGAATCACCTGGGGATTTGTTAAAATGCAAATTCTGATTCAGTAGATCTGGGCTGGGACCCTAGTCAGCTCCCAAGAGATGCCAGTGCTGGTTGATGAATCACACAGTGAGTAGCAAGGTAATTGAGTTTTCCGTTAGAGTCAACCCACCATGGATCAAAAATATTCAGAAAAAAAACAATAAAAATAACAACATAACAATAAAACATGTATTAAAAATACATTAAAACAACTACTTACATGGCGTTTACATCATATTAGGTAATATGGGTAATCTAGAGATGATTTAAAGTGTATGAGAGAATGTGCATAGTTTATGTGCAAATACTATGCCTTTTTGTCTGAGGAACTTGAGCAACCACAAATTTTGGTATCCACAAGGTCACGGGAAAAATCCCCCTCAGATAACTAGGGATAAGTATATTTGCAGGAAAACGCCATCATAACTGATACAACCTCTATGATTCATCTTGTAGAGAACACACTTAGAGAAATTTTCTGTGTCATGCATCCCATTACTCCAAAACATTTAGAAAGTGGACTCCACCCGGGCTCCATTCAGAAGATCTAGACTTTCTTTCCACATTATTTCTTGTACCATATATTCCTTATTATGGCCCATGAAGCAGTGTCAAAGCTACGGTGAACCACTGTGCACAAAGAAGTGATATTTTCCACAAATGTCCCCAGTATAGCAACAAATGGTAATGAAGAGATAATTTCTTTAGCCTCCAAGAAAGTTAGATTCCTTAAAGACTTACCCAATCCTTCATGTATAGGTCAGTAAAGTTTGATCAAGAGAAGCCAACTTATTCCCTAAGTGCCACAGGCGATGGAAAAAGGGGGAGAACAGAGCTTGGCAAGATTACGCTCATGTGTCAGGGTCTCGGTACATGAATCTGTGTGATGGATTTCCCCCTTTGCACAGAAAAACCTTTCAAAAGAAAGTAAGGGCTCAATGATAGTGTGCACATTACATCACATATGCAGGATGGAGCAACAACAACAACAACCAAAAAATCCATATTTACATTTTCAGACTTTTCCTAATGCCGTGTTTTAAGCGACCACAATGTCAGTCATTCCTTTATCTTTATGATTAACCCAGAGCATTAGCAAATACCCAATCTATTTAGAGACACAGATCTCTGAAGGTTTTGTGATTCCTTCTCTAAAATATAATACCACTTGACCTAACGGGTTTTGGGAGATTCCGTATCTTATTTTTTTTTCATCTTTCCATGATAACTGTGAGTTTAACAATAGGACGTGTGAAGTTGCTGAAGTATTTCATACATTCTTTATTAATTAAAGAAAAAATCTCATCTTAGAGTATTGGAAGTTTAAAGAGCAAATGAAAAGTAGAGAAAATGCAAGAAGGGCTAAAATAGCTGAAATGTACTACTTTTTCTTTTGAATAATTGGTACTAAAGAAGAAATATAGGCTTTAGATTTTAAATTCTATCATCGAAGAAAAGAAGCTAACTTTTAAGTATTCTGTCATGCTGAGGAAGAGATCAAGGGCCAGTCGGCAATAACATTGTCTCACTCCTATGTTTGCACACCCAGGCTGTGGTCCACCAGGTGGCTTTTAACGCGATTACAGCTTCTGTCTTCTGTGGCTCTCAGTGCTCATATGGTTCATTAGGATTCCTTTTTTTTTTTTTTTTCCATTTGAAATGGAGTCTCACTCTGTCACCCAGGCTGGAGTGCAGTGGTGCGATCTCAGCTCACTGCAACCTCCGCCTCTGGGTTCAAGCAATTCTCTGCTTCAGCCTCCCAAGTATCTGGGATTACAGGTGCCCACCACCACACCTGGCTAATTTTTGTATTTTTAGTAGAGACAGGGTTTCACCATCTTGTCCAGGCTGGTCTTGAACTGGTTCATTAGGATTCTTCATCAGTCACTGGCCAACTTCTTTTCGGATTTGTCTAATAGTTCTGATTCAAAGATCATGTAACTAAGGTCAAATCTGAACAGTGATTTACCTAAGACCATAGAGCCAGGCCATGGCATTCTCTAAAAATCTAGTGATTGGAATGTCTAAATCTTTGTTATTGTCAATGATTCTAACACAATTTCTGCAAATTTCCATCCAAGGACTCTGGAATGTGACATTAGGGCAAGCACTTACCTACACAGATGATACAGCTTGGCACTGTGTTCCCACCCAAATCTTAACTTGAACCATAGTTCCCACAGTCCCACATGGGAGGGACCTGGTGGGAAGTAATTTAATCATGGGAGTGGTTACCCTCATGCTGTTCTCATGATCATGAGTGAGTTTCCATGATATCTGATGGTTCTATAAGGGGCTGTTCCCCTTTTGCTCAGCACTTCTCCTTCCTGCTGCCATGTGAAGAAGGACATGTTTGCTTCCCTTTCCACCATGATTGTAAGTTTCCTGAGGCCTCCTTAGCCCTGCAGAACTGTGAGTCAATTAAACCTCTTTCCTAGAAGTTTCTCTACCTAGAAAAATAGTAAATCAAAAACAATATCACATCTCTGGAGGAATTGCAGAGATAAGTGCCACCATCAAGGACTTGAAAGACGCAGGGGTGGTGATTCCCATCACATCTCCCTTCAACTCTCCCATTTGGCCTGTGTGGAAGACAGATGGATCTTGGTGAATGATTGTGGGTAATCATAAGATTCACCAAGTGGTGACTCCAAATGCAGCTGCTGTGCTAGATGTGGTTTCATTGCTTGAGCAAATTAACACATCTCCTGGTACCTGGTATGCAGCCACTGACTTAGCAAATGTCCTTTTCTCCATTCCTGTCCATAAGGCCTACCAGAAGCAGTTTGCCTTCAACTGACAAGGCCAGCAACATACCTTTGCTGTCCTACCTCAGGGCTATATCAACTCTCCAGCTTTCCATCATAATCTTGTTCAAAGAGATCTTGATCGCTTTTCACTTCCATAAGGTATTGCACTGATCCATTACATTGATAACATTATGCTGATTGGATCCAGTGAGCAAGAAGTACCAAACACATTGGACTTATTGGTGAGACATTTGCATCCCAGAGGATGGGAAATAAAACTGATCAAAATTCAGGACACTTCTACCTGAGTAAAATTCCTAGGGCTCCTGTGGTATGGGACCTGTCAATATACTCCTTCTAAGGTCAAGGATAAGCTGCTGAATTTGGCCCCTGCTACAACCAAGAAAGAGGCACAATGCCTAGTGGGCCTAGTGGGATTTTAGAGACAACACATACCTCATTGTGGTGTGTTATTCCAACCCATTTATTGAGTGACCCAAAAGGCTGCCAGTTTTGAGTGGGGTCCAGAACAGGAGAAGACTTTCCAACAAATCCAAGTTGCTGTGTAAGCTGCTCTGCCACTTGTGCCATATGACCCAGCAGATCCAATGGTGCTTGAGGTGTCAGTGGCAGATAGGGATGCTGTTTGGAGCCTTTGGCAGGTCACCATAGGTGAATCACAGCAGAGCCCTCTAGGAGTTTGAAGCGAGGCCCTGCTATCTTCTGCAGATAACTACTCTCCTTTTGAGAGATAGCTCTTGGCCTGTTACTGGGCTTTGGTGGAAACTGAACATTTGACTATGGGTCATCAAGTCACCATGTGGCCTGAACTGCCTATCATGAACTGGGGGCTTTCTGATCCATCTAGCCATAAAGTGGGTCGTGTGCAGCAGTATTCCATCATCTAATGGAAGTGGTATATCCGTAATCAGGCTCGAGCAGGTCCTGAAGGCACCAGTAAGTTACATGAGGAAGTAGCTCAAATGTCCATGGTGTCCATTCCTGCCACCCTGA